GGTGTTTTTAATTCATGGCAGAGCGCATGCACACACACACACACAAAGGGAGATGGAAGGAGGAACCCCCGCACAGGGCACAGTCACACCTTAATTCTCCTCTTCCTGTCATTCTGTACACCAGCATCCTGGGCACACATGAACTCGCCTGGCTTATTTTCAGGCTGACTGGGCTGGGGATTCGAATCATGGCTGGCATGTGGTTTCCAGCTCCATAGTCCTGCCTTAGTGTTATCACTTATAAAATGAGGATACAATGGTCAACTATTATCCTACGATAAATATTTTAAAAGATTCGAGAAGATAGTGCTTTTCCAGGAGGCACAGTGCTGAGTGTATAGGAAAGGCCTATTATTACTGCCATTGCCATGTTATTATAGTTAGATCTGCTAGTTCTTTACATTTTTCAACTATCAATAAATCATAAATTTCTTAAAGTCAGGAGCTGGCATCGTTTCTCAAATACAAAACACAGAATGCTTGTGGCAAATTACTCAAAGACAGGGAGCATTTTCTTTTTTTCCCCAAAGCGTCAAGATACCTAAAACTGGTATTTGAACGTGAATACTTTTATTTTCTTGGTTGTTAGATGATATATATATATATATATTTTACTTTTCATTAAATCTACTTCAATGTTTTACAAATAGAAAGTTATCAACAAGGTTAGACCCCTGGGCTGGAGGGGTCCCAGATGACCACAGGGCCCACTGTGCTGTTGGTGTTCTGGTCCAGTCAGTGGCTTGAGAGGTGCACTGGGTGTGAGTGCATGACTGCCCCAAATCTTGACAGGATGGAGAAAAGGAGAAGGGGTTGTGGTATGGCCCCGGCCCATTGGAGGGGGTGCTTTTTCCTTCTCTTTCTCTCTCTGATGAGTATATGCCCCCTGTGGGACATTGTTTAAAAAGTTATCAAGCAATGATTACCAAATATATGTAGTATATTCTCACAAGATGTAATTTTGATTTAAAACTTAAACAAATGTAATGCATAGGTTAATATGCTGAATGTAAAAGCAGAGCTTACAAAATTTACTTGTTTACACACTGAACACATGAGCATACATACCCAAAATCCTGAAAGGAGATTGGAGAAATAGGATTTTGATATGGCCACCCTCTGGGGAGGTGATTTCTTACTTTCCTTCTCCCTCTCTCTGGTGAGTGATATATATATATTTATTGATTGATTGAAGATTTATTATTATTTTAATTTGACCAAGGAGAGATGGGGTGCAGGGAGAGAAGAGGAGGGGAAAAGTGACAAAGTAAGCTGCCAGGACTCAAACAGTGGTCTCGAACTGTGGTTCGTCATGTGGGAGTCCAGCGCCTTAACCAACACTCCACCTGCTGGCCCCCCAAATGTACTTTTTTAAACATCATTTAAAAAGAAGGAAGTTGGGACCAGCACATGGCATAATGGCTATGTCACTGGACTTGTATGTAGTTGACCGCAAGCCCGGACCTGGTGGCTTAAATTCACACTGGGCGCGTGTACGTGTGTGCCCAAGATCCTGAGAGAATGAAGAACGGATTGTGGCATGGCCATCCCCCCTGGGAGGCGATTTCTTGCTTTCTGTCTCTCTCTGTCTTTCTAGTGAGGGCATGTGCCCTATAGCCATGCAAAAAAGAAAGAAAGAAGTCTGTCTGTAGTACCCTTAGGATAATTACCTTCTCCGAATTCTCTGAGAGTACTTAATGGTATTTGGACTAAGTATACATTTCAAAACACTCACATTATGAGTTAATGCATTTCCAACAGACTTCTGAGTGAGGTTACAAATTGCTTAGGTTGCAAATGAAAAATGCAAAGGAGTGAGGAGTGAAGACCTATTGAGTACCCATAGAACTTTTAATGGTATTCTCAGCTATCTCCTCTCTTCATAGTGTCTTCCCAGCTAGTACCACCCTCATCAAATAATATAAAAAATCACGTGTTAAGGTTCAGAATTATAAAATCATATAATATGGAGATTGGAGGGAAACATAATAAAATCCAGTGCCCTCATTTTATAGATGAGAAAGCAGAAGCCTACAGCGTTCATTTCAATTAGAACTGTTTTCATGCAGTGACATTATGTCCTTTACCTGAGTTGTTTGCTTTAGTTTCACCATTTATTTTTGTGTTGTTCATTGGACCACACTGAGAACACCAGTGAATTCATCCCATGCGCATGGATACGGCCCACATAGTATTCCACTGAAGCAAAGGTCCCCAGTTTGTAGGCACAGACCAGTGCCCTCTGTGGCCTGGTGGAGACCAGGAGGACAGGAGATAGTTGGCCGGGCTGCAGTGGAGGGTGAGTAGCAGGCAAGCAAGTGCAGCTTCATCTGTGTCTGCAGCCACTTCCTGTCCTTCACGGTGCCATCTAGGCTCCACCTCCTGTTGGATCAGCTGCAGCATTGGATTCTCATGGAACTATGAACTCCATTATTGTGGATGTTTCATTGAATATGGCAATGTGTTTGTGGTGAAAATGGGGTGCATGGTGGATGTGGGGCACCTGGTTATCCGAGGACCAACCCCACCCCCTTTGCCCCAACCCATGTAGGAACTGTCCTCCATAAAACAGATCCCTGGTGCCATGAAGGTTGGGGACAGTTGTTCTAAAGGATCATCTGAATTTTGTGAGGTATTTTCTTTGAAGTATCAAAGCCAAAAGATCATGGTTTTCCTTTGGGTCTTTTTAAAGGGAATATTATCATACAACATTTGAAACTAGAAAGAAATCTTCATGGTATACCTTTTACAGACATTTTCTTCTTGGATATTTTTCCCTCTAAGAGAAATTTTGTTAATGTTTCTTTCACATGCTGGTATAGCAGGTGGCATAGTGGTTAAGGTGCTGGACTCCTACAGGGAGTTCTGGACCTGGTGGCTTGAAAATCACTCCAGGCTTGTGTGCATGTGTGTCCAGGAGGATAATGGAGAGAAGAGGGATTTCAGTGTGGCCATCTCCTTTGGAGGGTGATTTTGATTTCTCACTTTCCCTCACATGCACCCTATGGCAAAAAAATTAAGTAAAAAATATTCACATATTACATATTATTAATTAATATATTGTTCAGAAGTGCTACATTCCTGTGTGGGCCTATTTAAACATGGTCCTGAATAATTAAAAGCTCATTTAGCTTTCAATTAAACTTATGCAAATATATTTTTGAAGTACATTTTTTTAAAAAGTTGATATATTGACAAGAAAACAAGTTTTTCAATACTGTAGTAATTAGGAGGTCTCCAATTTATATATATATTTTAAGAGATTTTTGCTACAGAGTGCATGAGCTCGTCGGGAGAGACAGAAAGTCACACTGCAATTCCGTCTGCTCCATTCTCATTCCTGGATTTTGGGCACTCATACATTTGCACCCTGGGTCTTTCAGGACAGTGCATCCAGGACTTGGACACCGGTTAACGATGTGGGAGCCTGCGCCTCCACTACCAGGCCACTTGCTGGGTCCTCCAAAAATACTAACCAGAAGTAATGTTAATTAACCACTTGAACTTTAAAAAATAGGATTGGTAATAAAACCCTCAAACCGTATCTTACTCACTTTGGCATTATATTCTGCCACATTTATTTATATTAAGCTGTATTTGATACTCCTATCATTTTCGAAAGGATTGATTTTGCATTATTTTTTCATTGCAGCCCCTGATCTGTAATTGAACGTCCTACACAGGAGAACGTTTGTTTAGCAGGTGTTACGTATCTATCAAGTCAAATTACGCTGAAGCAACGTGCAGTATTGACTAATATTTTTAAAAAGATACTTTTAGAAACTCTCACGTTGATGTTATTATTGACGTCGGCTTAGGAACATTTGGGTAATTAAGTAAAAGCAGTGAATAATAACAATAATAAGCCAACATGACGAGGAATCAAAGAGTGAAGACCTGCTCCACTCCGCTCCCAGCCCTCATTACTTCGGAGGCTTGTGCCCTTCTGCAGTAGCAGGTTCCTGCATGTGCCAGGAATCCGGTCCCAGCCAAGCCAGGCACTCTGCAACGCCAGGGCGTGCCCTGCTGGGGGCTGCTGGCTGAGAACACCCGGCGAGATTCCTGGGGGCCCTGAGCCTTTTTACCACCCAGCAGTCGGCTTGCAGGCAGAGGCTGTGTGTGAGCGGTCAGAGGGTTTCCTGTGTGTCAGCAACTTCACTTTGCCGAGATAGCCAGCGGAAGAGCGGAAGAGCGAAGGAACGCTCTCGGGCCAATCGCACGCCAACAGCCACCTCTGAGCGCACCCCTAGTCCTCGCCACCGACTCCGGTAGCAGCGTCTGGGCAGAAGCTGAGCACACCTGGCCAGGGCGACCTGCTTCCCAGAAGACGCCTCTGGTTCCCGGCGGCTCGCAATAGAGCGCGGGCGGGCTCGGCGGAGGCACGCCCCATGCCTCCCAGCCGAGCGCCGACCCGCCAGGGTGCCCAAACTCCGCCCACCCTCGCGGGGAGCCTGTTCCTCCCGCCTGCCGGGTACACTCTGGACCTAGCACGGCTGCTGGAAGGACACTGAGCTGAACTGACGCCGAACCGAACGCGATCCAGAAGCGCACGGGTTTGCGGCCATGCGAGTTCAGATGGCCCCCAAAAACTGAGCGCAGGGAGGGGGGAACGGAGGAAGCCCCTGGCGCCCCAAAGCCGAGCTGCTTGGTTCCAAGGTAGGAAGGAGGAAGATGCCCGAACGAAGTTGATCTTTGGGGAAGGAGGCTGAGGAGCACCCTTCCCACGCCGAGCGCCGCAGAGCGAGTTGGGCTCGAGCTCGCTACCCCCGGGCACGCTCTGCAGCGCGGACCCGTGGACCCTCGGGAAAGCGCAGTCGGAAAGTTGTCGGCGACAGTGTCCTGCGCTCTGTTGTGTAACCTCGGCACTACCAGCCGGACGGGAAAGTTGCTGGCCCGCCCTCCAGCCGGTCTCTGTCCCGGCCCCCGGCCGGCGTACTGGG